GTAAATGGTTGGAAACTGTTAGTCAGGCTATTGTGTAACAAAGCACTAAAACTGTTTGTCCACCAGGTTAACACTTAGATATCAACTTAGTTTGACCCCAGGAACACATTACTGACTTCACAACTTTACTGTAAGAGCAATTTGGCTACTGTGGCCGATTTGAACCCTTACAGAGATGTCTGTAAAAACTAGAACAGACAGCAGTTTAGGCTTCAGACCTCCTGTCTGAACCTCAGACCAACCAAAAAAGAAAAAGACATGGATATTATATTTAATTTAAATTTCATCTCATAGGTGATTTTAGACCCTTTTAAAAATAGCGTATTTTAGTATTATTTTCTTCAAATGGTATATTTTCCTAACTGTTAGGCCTTTTGGTCAAAAGTCAGTAGTTAGTGCATAGTCTGATTAAGTTACATAAGCAAGGTGGTAAATAAGTTCAAAGTTAAGAAATATTATAAGTAATTCATGCTAAAAACAGTTAAAATGTCTGGGTTCGAAATTTGCTCAGAGTGCGACATTGTTATCACAAGCGATCTTTGCATTGTATGTGCGGGAATGGGAGCGAGGGAGCGCTCTGATCATTCGCCTATCTTTGACGTGTTTTCTCCGTTAATGCCGTTAAAAGTGCTTCGGCAGTATTAAAAGAGTGAACGAGTTCATGTACACGCTAAGAGTGCCCTACACGCTTGTACCTTGGGAAACGTTCGTCTTTGTGAGTATTAATGTGTTCAGAAACAACGTTTATATGTGTTTACCTGGAGTGAACTGCGATGCTAATGTAACGCACGTGTTAAGCTAGGCTAATCAGTAAGTTTGTCATTAAGATGTGTATTAGCTAGCAATTTATTTTCACTTTCTGTACGTTTCAGTTACAAATAAGAAATAGCAAGGAGAAGCCTTGAGAGAGGATAAGGCTTTAAAGGATCTTCATTAAAAGCAAGAAAAGCAAGCCTTGTGTGGAAGATCTCGTCTATTTTGTTCGCTAGCTGTCTAGCTTCACATGGTCACGTGTTGTGAGGGCAGCATACTAACTCTTCTATTTTAACAACAGTACAGGACTGAATGACAGCAGGTTTAACTCCAGTGTTGTTGATGTCATGATGTTACAGTGCGCTCACACAGAGGTGTGGCTGGTTTGGTTAGCTGCGACATGAGACCTTCGCTGCTGCAGCAGAAAGAAGATGAAGAGGAAATTTAATAACACAAATCAGTGATGCAGATTTAAAACACACTTTAACTGAAATATAGCAAAAGTTCAAACTGTTTGGATAATGTGGGGACTGATTGCTGTAATATATAAAGTGTCAGCTTGTTTGTATTTGTTGTCTAAATACAGTCAAAAATGTTAGCTGATGTAGCTTAGCTTATTAGCTGATTTTAACCTTCTGATCCGCTTGTCTGCTGGGATAACACGAGCCGAGGAGCTGATGTACTTTATTAAGTTTGTTAAAAAAATTCTTATTTTCCTCTTCAGGTTGAAATGGGCTTCGGTTTTTGTTCCAGATCCAGGTGACAGCAGGTCAAAATGATTTTGATGTCTGGGAGCATAGTGCTTTAAACAGATACGGACCAGTTTACATCTTTTATTAGCTCATTTAACTTTTTGGTGACTGCATGAAGCCTGACAGAGGAGGATGGAGATGGAAAAGAAGGGAGAGCGTTGCCTCGGGTTTCATAACTAAAGGCTCCACCCTAAAATGGGTGGATTAGATTGAAATCTATGATTATTCCCTCTGAATTATTCTTAGACACAAATATAGGTCATCCAACTAATTAGGTTTCTTTTGTAAAGGGTTGATAACATTAATAAACAGCATTATTCAAATCGTAAAGGAGACTCACCTTTCCCATGCCAGCGTGGGCGTGGCCCATCTTCACAACCACAGGGAAGGATGGACTTGTGACCTGTGAAAAAACAAAAACATAACAGTGGGGGTTTACAACAACCGTATAATTCAAAACGATCAATACAGTGTCAACGATGCATATATGATAATATCATAATGTGTAACTGTTCTTTCTGTCTGCCTCTGCACCTCGTTTGCGTCTGACCACCAAGCTCTCAGGACTCAACAAAGACAGAAACAAAGTCATTTGTTGCCATTACTGCTATAATTGTTTCATAGATACTACAGTAACATAGTTATTGTACATTATTTTGACCACAATAATTTGATGTGTGATATGATGTGATGTGAAAATCAGATATCTTCGCACCCAGACATCACGTTACGGATGTTTTCGCAGCTCTCGCTTCACTTACTGTGGCACAACAAACCATGTGAGAAGATTTTGTCTGCTTATTGCAGAAGAAAAAAAGTAAATCCATGGTGAACGTCTGTGGTGTCGGAGCAGCTCACGCTTCAAACTGATTTAT